AGAGAGAGAAAACAAACTTGCCTTGCCCCAGGCGCTGGCAACCCACACTACACCACTGAGAAGACGAATTTCATAGTAACGGAGTATGAACAACATGTTATACAGCATTTATTGATAGTTTTAAATGATGTGGGTTTAATGACACCTTAATGACCCCCAAACTGGAGATTCTGGAATTCATCAACCGTAAGGTAAAGACTTATAGGTGTACTTATATCTATGGATGGTTATCTCAGTATGCAGTATGGGATCATATAGAGGGGCACAGGCAACCTGCTCAGGGCTTTTGTTTCATCCAGATCCTTTCTTGGGTCTTACCCTTTCTCAGTTAATTAGGGTCATTGGGAAAAATGCACCACTGACTCTGCCAAGTATCATTGGCCTTAGAAATATGCCAGGCCATCAAATAGGAGGTCATCAAATAGGAGGTCATCAAATAGGAGGTCAGTCAGCTACAGTTCGAAGAACCTCTAGCAATTTCTTGAGGAACGCTGGTTGAGAATGCTTGATCCAGATGTTGCTTGATGATACCTAGACACCCCACTATGTAAAATCCCCTGGCCACCAGTAATCCTGTTGTCAGGGACAGGGGTCTGTGTCCACTGAGAGTTGGGCAGTCTGGGTGGTAAAAAGGCAGTAGAGGATACTAATGGTGAACATAGCAAGCCAGATAACTACAAAGTGGTAGGCTTTATGCACACAGACACTTAGCAGATCCTGTGTGCTGAGGCATCAGTGCTTCCTCTGTCATCTATTGATCCCCAGTGTGCCCTATGCAGGGCCGTGGATAAGGGGGTACCACCAGTCCTCCTGTACAGGGCCCAGGCCAGCAGGGGGGCCCAGGCAGGCAGCTGGGGGAATCAGTTGTGGCTAGGGAGGGTGATCTGGGGGGGGGGGGTCAAATACTGGAACCGATACCCTGTATTGCTCTCTCTGCAGCAGTTGAAAGCTGGCTTCTTCTCCTCTCCCTCCGGCTGGCCTTCAGCTGCTTCAGAGAGAGCCATATAGGGGATCGGTTCCAGTAATTGCCCCCCCACTGCATCATCACCCCCGTGCACCATATGTTTCCCCCAGTTGTCCAGGTCCCCCTACGTGCCCTAACCCTCGCAGTGCTGCCAGCTTCCCTCCTCTCCATCTCACTAGCAGCTGCCAGCACACAATACGATCCTTCAGGATGGAGAGTGGGTAAGGATTCAGTAAATATGTCACATTTAGCAGCCCCTTTTTTTCCTGAATGAACACAGTGAGTGGTCAGTACCGATCATTCACTGTGTTCATTCATAACTGAAGCCTAGTAAACTGTTTTTTTTTTTGGGGGGGGGGGGCCTTTCAGGGTGGCTGTATGGGGCCCCATGGTTTCTAACAGCAGCCAATGAACCCTGGATCATCCTGTGTCATCTATGGACTCCCAGTGCTCCATGGTGACACCTGTGCCTCAACGCAGTCTCTATTTGACAATATGCACATGGGCACATAACAGCTTCTGTGTTCGTAGATGTAAAATCACTGGGGCTTACTGGCCTTCTGGGGAGTGGCCTGTGCCATATACAGCCATCAATACAAGTGAATGCTGTAAGCAGCCGTGCTCTGGTGAACGCCGATGGCTTCTGCATTGGCATTACCTATGCATGTAGGTTCAGGGATAAGCACTGTACACACATGCATGGGTAAACAGTGATGCAGAAGCCATCGGCATTTTATGCGTACAACCATTCTTTTGTATTATGGGCTGTACGTGTGTCAGGAATGGACTGGCCAGCAATGGTGGGACTCACCTGCCTTTTGATCTGCAGTACCAGGGCTGGCCAGCGGGTGCTCCCAGCAATCAGAGACTCAACCTTTCAGCCAGCTAACACCTGGAACTGATGATACTGGTGTATTTAAGGGATGGCCAGACTTGCAGACTCTGCCTTGGTGTTGTGTTTGTCCTGGGCCCTGTATCTGTCCTGCGTCCTGTTTCTGTTCCTTTGCTACCTGTTCTGATCCCTGGCTTGTGACCCTGACCATCCCTCTGCCTGACCCTCTGTACTACGCTGCTTGCTACCTGTTCTGATCCCTGGCTTGTGACCCTGACCATCCCTCTGCCTGACCCTCTGTACTACGCTGCTTGCTACCTGTTCTGATCCCTGGCTTGTGACCCTGACCATCCCTCTGCCTGACCCTCTGTACTACGCTGCTTGCTACCTGCTGAACCTGGCCTGTGACCCGACCATTCTCCGCTTGCTCCCCCTGTACCTACCTGCCCAATTGATATTGACTCGGCCTGCCTGACGACGCTTGCTTGTATGTACTGTTATCTGTGGGTGGTTGGTTGGGTTTGTTTGCACTGTATTATGTTTAGTATTGCACTGCGTTTATGTTTGTATTGTTAGTGTTAATAAATTACATTGTTAATCACATATCTGAAGTCTGCGTTTCCCTGCTTCAGTCACACACCTCTGGTCATACCTGGGAGCCCTGACAACGTGGCTCATGCAGCTCCCCAGATGCCAGAAAGCACCAGGGATTTTATGTCTCAGCACGCAGGAGCTGCTAAGTATCAGTGTGAATGAGGCCTAATAGAGACTGCACTGAGGCACTGGTGTCACAAACAAATTTAATTTCGTAAATCAGAAATTTTGTGCATTTTGCGATCCAATGGTGCCATTGATTTTGAAATTTGACCAACTAAGCCTTCAATTTCACCTCATGTTGCTAAAGAGAAGAAAGTTTGTGACCGGGAATATTCTTTTCTTTCCAGGCAACAGGTCATGCGCATTTCTTTTTCGAATGCATTTCTTGCACAATTCTCCTGTCATTGATTAGAAATTTTTCAAAAAATTTCCAACATGCCCGATCACTCAAGTTTGATGGCTGCACGAAAATCGACCGTTACTGTGGCCTACTAATGGTGCGAAATTTGAACGAAAATTCTTAGTTACGTTTTTCAAAAGCAAATTCTTTCAGAATTTGACCCATGTATGGCCTGCATAATCATGAAGTTGAATCCCGACTCCGCAGAACAGGGTCTTTCTGTGGTCATAGTCAGCGGTGTATTTACTGCAAAGGAAAACAAGGCGTTTGCCTAGGACAGCAATTTTTAGGGGAGCAACACCGCCCCCCCTGAAGAAGGGACCCGGTGAGCAGCTGCAGACTGAGTCATGCAGAGCCACCATCTAAGGGGTACCTCCAGTTCTCCTGTAGGTGGCCCAGACAGCAGGAGGATCGGGGGAAGGAGCTCAGCGGCAACTCAGGAACACCAGAGCACCCCTTCGATCTGGCCAGGTCTGTTTCTCCCACCAGCAGCTGAAAGCCAGTTTTTCCCCCTCTCCCTCCTGCTGGCTTTCTGCTGCTGGCAGGAGAAACAGACCTGGCTGAATCGAGGGGGTGCTCTGGTGTTCCTGAGTGGCCGCTGAGCTCCTTCCCCTGCCCGCATTCAGAGCCAGGACAGGGGGAAAGCCTGGAGCAGGGAGAGAAGTAATGGAGAGGAAAGAGCCGGGAGGAGGTGAGCTGTGTTGTGTTCTCTGGGCTCTCCCTTCTGTTGTCCATGCAGCCCGGAGATGAGCAGCCCTTGGAAAAGGTAGGGGGTGGTAATCATACTATGTGTGTGCTGTCCCATACAATCTAGCAGTGATCCTGTCTCATGTGTTGCATAGACAACAGGAGGGAGAGCCCAGAGAACACAACACAGCTCACCTCCTCCTGGCTCTTTTCTTTCCACTTTTTGTAGGAAGTGTGATGGGGATTTTTGGAAGGGGGGTGGTATTTGCGAGGAGGAATGGGGGGAATATGTGCTAGTAGGGAAGAGAGAGAGAGGAAAAAAAGAGAGGGAAAAGAGAGATACAGAGAGAGAGAAGCAAGGAAGAGAGATAACAGAGAGAAGTAGGAGCGAGAGAGAGAGAGAAGAGAGAGATAAAGAGAGAAGAAAGAGATGAGAGAGAGAACAGAGAGAGAAGCAAGGGAGAGAGAAAGCAAGAGGAGAGAGAGGGAAGAGAGAAAGATAGGGAAGAGAGAAAGAGAGGGAGAGAGCGAGGGAAGGGGGAGGGAAGAGAGAGAATCATATTTATGCAGACCAGGGGCGGACTGACAACTCATGGGGCCCTCGGGCAATAGGGGATCATGGGACCCCTGTGTCCTTGCCCAAACTCAAAAAAGCCTATGAAAAAGATACCAGGGGCATCTCATGGGGCCCCCTACTGACCCCGGGCCCTCGGGCAGTGCCCGAGTTTCCAAATGGTCAGTCCGCCCCTGGTACAGACACACTCATTGAACTCTCTCGTTCTCTCATTGGGGAGGCGCACAATTTTTTTGTTGCTTAGGGCAGCACAAAACCTAAATACACCACTGGTCATAGTACATACACTGCCGAGTGTTTAGAAAGAAATGATTCTTTCAATTTCATTTGAGAATACAGAAAACATTACAGTCAAGAATATGTGGATCTGAGTGAGATTTCTTTGTGGGTTCAGCAGATCTTCTTTCATATTACATTCCTACATTGAATGGGCAGAGTCTCTTGTTAGCCTACCCCCTGAACCACTGCTGCATTCCCTCACCCCTATCCATTGCCCCACTGAAAGCCGAAAATCAAAGTTGACACAGGGTTCTCACTGCATCATGGGAGAGGGTCACATGCTCCCCCATACTTAAAAGTACTGGGTATTTTGTGAGAGCACTGATGGGGGAAGGAGGGTCGGGGGAACGAAAGTAGGTTGGGGGCAGAATTCCCAATTCAGGTTCTGAGTGATGCAGAGCTGTACCCTTTCCCTGCGTGTGGCCGACAGCTGCTGTGTTCACACATTCCCCACCCGGCTTCCAGTCTTCCCGCCCCGCGCTGTATAAACACAGCCTGATCTTTATACTATTTGTTACCAGGCACTCTGCCCTATATTTCTCAATGCAGTATACAGACCACATGCTGCCAGTGTGTGCAGGTTAGTGGAGTTAAAGGTGCACTTCAGTCCAACGTGAATTGTGCATTTACATTACATAACATAGATAGTAAGGTTGAATAAAGGCACCAGTTCATCCAGAGTGTGTGTGTGTGTGGGTGTCACTACCACTTTCCATATCCCTGTACATTGTGTTTGCTAAGAAACACATCTAAAAGTGTTTTTTATTTTTAACACTCCCCACTGACACCATCATCATCAGTGGAATGAAGCTCCACATCCTTACCACTCTAACAGTAAAGAACCCCTTATGCATTCTAACCACTTTCTGATCCACTGCAGTACATTTACTGTGGCAGGTCGGCTCATACAATCACGTAAAGTCCAACACTCCCTCTGTGTGGGACACCGCCACATTATGAATGATCCAGCAGTTGAGGGGAGGAGTGGCAGAGGGGAGGAAGAAAGGAAAGAGAAAGATGCTGGGTGTCCAGGGCCAGTGTAGCAGCTGAGCTGCCGATCCTTCCAGTGTTCCTCTCAGACTCAGTCCCTTACTGCGTGCTGGCTGGCAGCTGATAATCACTGTGGAGTTCCAGCCCTTCTCTTCCCATTCATCAGCAGAGGCAGAGCTGCGCCTGAGGAGGAAGGTAATGTCAGATTCTGATGTCTTGTGTCTGTGTGAGTAGGCTGGCCGCACATCCATCACATGTGCAATGTGTCAATGAATGATGACATTATTATGATCCCACGGCCTGCTCTTCTGTGCCTGCTGATCTGTGTCAGTGTTGGTGGTGGTGTGTCAGATCTGTCACTGTGTGGGATCGCTCAGTTCAGGTGTTCTCTGTGTGTGTGTGGGTGTAGGCTGGGCTGTCTGCTGTCACAACGTTTTACCTCCCCCCATTGCCTGGGATCTGTCAGAGTGTGGATCCATCATCCTCCACTCACTGCAACTGTCACCCTGCCACTGCCAGCCACAGATACAGTCCATCTGTGACACTGATTTTGTCTTTAATATTGGTGCTGGTGGCATCTAATGGCACTTATATTTGCAAATTGAAAGAAATTTAGCAGCTTCATGTTTTGTTGTTTTAATGTTTTCTACTGTTTTTTAAATGTTTTGAAGTTTTTCTTATTGGGGGGGGCACAAGTAGCTGGCCTTGCCTTGGGAGCGAGATAGTCTAGCACCAGCCCTGCCTATCCGTTGTGACTTTCTTCTGGTTCCAGGAAGTCTGCATTGCCATTTGCAGCAGCACAAAGCCAATCAGTTGTCCTGGTCAATGGTTTATGGATGGAACCTGCTCATCGGCTCAGGGAATGACAGGAGTGAGCTATGTGTTGGTAAACAACACAGAGTTCTCTTCAGACATCAGCTATGTGCCATTTTTTTCCTTCCTGCAAAGCAAAAGCAGGGAGTAAAAACTGGCACATTGCTTAGTAATACAGCACACAGTACACACACTAAACATTGTTAGGCACACATTTAAAGTGGTAGAAAACTCTTGAATGTGATTTTTACCTACAGGTAAGCTTATAATAAATCTTATGTTTAGGTAAAATGAGTATCTCCTAAACATGCGCCATTTAGGAGATATTCCATTGAACAGTAGCTGATGACATCACCGGCACATGACCTCTGAAGGAACAGCATGGGTATGCTCAGAGGTCAGAGTTGTGTGCTGTGTAGGGTTTCCGCCTCATCCCTTTAAATCCAAACACATTAATTACACAGGTTCTGTAGCTGATTAAGGTGGCAATTAAATTTGCTCAATGCCTTATCTGCATTCAATTAGCCTGAGAACCTGTGTAAGCAATACACAGGTTCTGTGTAAATTTAAAGTCCAACTCTAGGAATTTAAAAAAATCCACCCTTGCAGTACCCCCCTCCCCCCTCCGCTGTCCACCCCCACTGGTAGATACGTGTTTATGACATTAATGAATTAAAGTGGTTGTAAACCCTTCCATATACACAGCAAGGGGACTGGCCTTACTGTAGGTGCTACATAGAGATGAAACAAATCCTCCTACATAAGTTGTACCTGTCTGTCTTCTCTTCTCTACATCCTTATGAAGTGCAGGATTTATAGTTTGTCTGAGAGTTAAAAAAAGGGGAGCAAAAAACTGAAATTACACACTGCAGAGCTCAGTGAGGAGAGCTCTGAGAGCTGACTGGAGGGAAGAGACACACCCCCTTCACAGAGCTCACAGGAACAGAGTTGAGGCTGTCAATGGGCTGGAGGTCCCTCCCCTGTCACCATTTTTCTCTTAGTGTCAGCTTATCTTGTGAGAAGTGATTAATGCTGATAGCAGAGGAAGGAGGCAGCAGAAATGACACCTGGTGCTCTGGATATATATACTGTAGAGGGATATGCTTTGTCCATATTTCATAGCTGAGGGGGGGGGGGGAGAGAGAGAGGGAGAGAGAGAGAGAGATGCAGCGACTCTGCTTCCAGTTCCAAATCACCCTGGGAAATAATGAGATTTGTAGTTGCCCCAAAGTTGCTGGTGTGACATGACCCTTCTAGAAAAGATGTGATGTTGGTCCTCACCAGACACATCAGGATGTAACTGAAGCAGGATTGTATGGTGTGCAGCAGGTTTTTTTACTCGATGCATCATCTTTCTAAATAGGCTCATATACAGCCCTGGCGAAAAGTTTTGAGAATGACAGATATATACAATTACAAGCATTCCATAAGTGTCAAAGGCTTTTATTGACAATAACATTAAGTTTATGGAAAGCGTCAATATTTGCAGTGTTGACCCTTCTTTGTCAAGCCCTCTGCAATTCGCTCCGGCATGCTGTCAATCAACTTGTAGGCCACATCCTGACTGATGACTGCCCGTTCTTGCATAATCAATGCTTGGAGTTTGTTAGAATTTGTGGGGTTTTTTTTTGTTCACTCGCCTCTTGAGGATTGATCACATGTTCTCAATGGGATTAAGGTCTGATGAGTTTCCTGGCCATGGACCCAAAATTTCAATGTTTTGTTCCCCAAGCCACTTAGTTATCACTTTTGCCTTCTGGCAAGGTGCTCCATCATGCTGGAAAAGGCATTGTTCACCACCAAACTGTTCTTGGATGGTTGGGAGAAGTTGCTCTCGGATGATGTTTTTGTGCCATTCTTTATTCATGGCTGTGTTCTGTGGGCTGAGTGAGCCCACTCCCTTGGCTGAGAAGCAAATGCACACATGAAAGGTCTCAGGATGCTTTACTGTTGGCATGACATAGGACTGGTGGTAGCGCTCACCTGTTCTTCTCTGGACAAAGTTTTTTGAATGCCTCAATCAGGCAGGGGATTCATCAGAGAAAATGACTTTGCCCCAGTCCTCAGCAGTCCAACCCTTGCACCTTTTGCAGAATATCAGTCTGTTTCTGATGTTTTTCCTGGAGAGAAGTGGCTTCTTTGCTGCCCTTCTTGACACCAGGCCATCTTTCAAAAGTGTTCACCTCGCTGTGCGTGCCAATGCACTCACATTCGCCTGCCGCCATTCCCTGAGCAAGCTCTGCACTGGTGGTGCCCGATCTCACAGCTCAATCAACTTTAGGAGACGGTGCTGGCACTTGCTGGACTTTCTTGGGTGCCCTGAAGCCTTCTTCACAACAACTCTCTCCTTGAAGTTCTTGATGATCTGATAAATGGTTGATTTAGGTACAATCTTCGTAGCAGCAATATCCTTGCCTGTGAAGCCCTTTTTGTAAAAAGCAATGATGACTGCGCGTGTCTCCTTGCACGTAAATTAATATTTGTGTCATTCACAAAAAACTTTTGGCCAGGGCTGTAGTTCATTAGAAATGTGACTAAATGTTCATATTGACCTCAGGCGTTTACAAGACGGGGGTAACGCATGATGACTAGACAAGGATTGGGATAAATATTGAGAATGCCGGAGAACATGAGCGTGGAAGATTTCCCGGGAGCTGGGCCGTGACGGTGGTCCAGTGGGAGCTCATTCAGCAAGGCTCCAGTTACACTTTCTTGGAAGTAACATTCCTGACATACTACAGAGAGGCCTCACTGCACAGCCAGCCAGCTGGAGAGGATGCTTACCAGGAAGGAACAAATCCCGGGGATAGATAGCAATGCCAGGATGTCCACCACCTTGATAAGAACTACAAGTCTCAGCCTGTAATGTATGGTGGTTCGTAGTATCCTCACCCCAGGAGAGGTGTGCTTCATGTCCACTTCTCTGTTGTGTTCCTGTAAAGAAAGTAGCCCAGCAGAGCACAGCACAAAGGCAGCTGGAGGCCTCCAGCATTGCTCAGAAATCTAAAGTTATCTTTTCAGGGGAAATAGCAAGTCAGCGTGGCCTTTACATAGATTTGCAAATATATGCTGCTAACAACTCGAGTCCTGGCTTGTTCTTTAATTGGTATCTATGTAGTGACACTGTTGGCCATGCACCATTCAATACTGACTTTGGGCGACGGTAAGGGACAGGATGCTGAATAATATAGTTACTTTGGCTGTGACTGTAACCAGCACTCCCAAAATATTCATGCTACCCACTCTTACCTATATACACAGCGGTTAATGCGATGCCACACCAGTACAGTGTTGCCAGTGTAAGCCAGCACCAATAACCTGGATCCTACACTGTTCAGCAGCAATATATTTTACAGTTCACCCAAGCTAGCCACAGTGTCCATGACTGCTAGCCACATCAGTTCCAGTGTCACCAAACTGGTGTAAGCCAACAACAGTGTCCATGACTGCTGCCACACCAGTGCCAGTGCAGCCAACAATGGTGTTTCTGATTGCCGTCACACCAGTATAATGTCACCAGACCTGCATAAGCCAGCAATATGGTTTCTGATCGCTGACACACCAGTACAGTGTCACCAGACCTGTGTAAACTAGCAGCAATGTTCCTGACCACACCAGACCTGTGTAAACTAGCAGCAATGTTCCTGACCACACCAGTCCTGTGTAAACTAGAAGCAATGTTCCTGACCACACAGTCCTGTGTAAACTAGAAGCAATGTTCCTGACCACACCAGACCTGTGTAAACTAGCAGCAATGTTCCTGATCACACCAGTCCTGTGTAAACTAGCAGCAATGTTCCTGACCACACCAGTCACCAGACCTGTGTAAACTAGCAGCAATGTTCCTGACCACACCAGACCTGTGTAAACTAGCAGCAATGTTCCTGACCACACAGTCCTGTGTAAACTAGCAGCAATGTTCCTGATCACACCAGTCACCAGACCTGTGTAAACTAGCAGCAATGTTCCTGACCACACCAGACCTGTGTAAACTAGCAGCAATGTTCCTGACCACACCAGTCCTGTGTAAACTAGAAGCAATGTTCCTGACCACACAGTCCTGTGTAAACTAGAAGCAATGTTCCTGACCACACCAGACCTGTGTAAACTAGCAGCAATGTTCCTGACCTGACCACACAGACCACACCAGTCCTGTGTAAACTAGCAGCAATGTTCCTGACCACACCAGTCACCAGACCTGTGTAAACTAGCAGCAATGTTCCTGACCACACCAGACCTATGTAAACTAGCAGCAATGTTCCTGACCACACAGTCCTGTGTAAACTAGCAGCAATGTTCCTGACCACACCAGTCACCACACCTGTGTAAACTAGCAGCAATGTTCCTGACCACACCAGTCACCAGACCTGTGTAAACTAGCAGCAATGTTCCTGACCATACCAGTCCTGTGTAAACTAGCAGCAATGTTCCTGACCACACCAGTCCTGTGTAAACTAGCAGCAATGTTCCTGACCACACACCAGACCTGTGTAAACTAGCAGCAATGTTCCCTGACCACACCAGACCTGTGTAAACTAGCAGCAATGTTCCTGACCACACACCAGTCCTGTGTAAACTAGAAGCAATGTTCCTGACCACACAGTCCTGTGTAAACTAGAAGCAATGTTCCTGACCACACCAGACCTGTGTAAACTAGCAGCAATGTTCCTGATCACACCAGTCCTGTGTAAACTAGCAGCAATGTTCCTGACCACACCAGTCACCAGACCTGTGTAAACTAGCAGCAATGTTCCTGACCACACCAGACCTGTGTA